CGATCTCACAATAAACCTGCATCGCAGGGCCTGCCGAAAATCTTTTGAAGAGCAGATGCGTTCGGGAGTAGCAATACCCTTGGTTAGACAGCCATCATGGTTGGGCCTCCCATTCTAATAAAGAAGAAGCCAATAGTAAGTGTAACTCTTTTGGTGTTTGTTGGAGACGAAAACCGACATACAGGAATGGAAGTATCTCATCCACTGCATACATCCTGGCAGCCGCTAAATGTGGATGGTCGGCTTAGGTGAAAACATTCCGCGTGAATTGGTTTGGCTCCAAAAAGCACTCTCCTGTGGTTGGGATGCACGAGTTGGAGTCTATTCAGCTCGACGAGGCTGCCAGTCGTTGGTTGCCTCCCCATCATATGGCAGATCATGTTTATTGCCCATTCTTACAGTGGAAGGCTGGGATTTGACAGATTTAAAGACAGTTCCCAAAAGTTGCTGTTATGACCAGAAAATTTCGAAGCACCTTCTATCCTCAGAGTTATTCACTCCTCCTTCAGGTCCCCCTTTGTGTACGTATAAGTTTCGTTCCTCGCACGTGCCACTGTGTGCTGCTAGGTGTAAGATGGGTCCGAGGAAGTACGCATTGGCCATTACAACCTGCAACAGGGCCAAATTCGTATGGGGAAAGTTCCATAAAACGCCCCAGAAGTCCCCCCTCAGCCTCTTGGCATCCTGATCACAGCGGTTCAAGCACCTGGAGCAGCGGGAAAGGAAGTGCCTTGCAACGAATTGCAACACATGTTGCCGCACTCCACGGGAAGGCACTCCACAGTTGAACACAACCGCTTGTTTTGCACCATTTAGTACAGAAATTCCACATACGTCTGCTGGCAAGCATCCTATTTGCTTTCAGGCTGACTAGTAAGGCCGGGTGTGGGTTCTCGCGCTAACTGCGGACAGTCGCAAGTATTTCTAAATGGAGAGCCGAACCCACCAAGGTTTCTCTCCGACTAAAGTAGGCAAATACCAAATAACTTATAAAACGACATCGTTGAACACATTTTCAATGCTCATTCTAGTCCAGCATTCTCCGTCCGTATTAAAGTGTTACTGCAGTGTGCCACCTAGAGTGTTCTGAACGCTGACTGTAGTGCGCAGCCGTCCTAAGCTGTGCCTACTAATCATCTCGTAGTGCCGCGCTACGTAAGTACAACCTCTAATTACCCAAATCCCCAGAAGTCTATGCTGCACGTACCAAATCATGTTAGAACGTCTATTATTAACAAGGCTAGTTCATAGAATAAAAGAATGTGTGTTCGGAACTGAACCCGGTCTTCACCGGCGGTCAGCGCCCAACCTGTAAGATGGAGGGGGGATATCAACAGCGACGACACTGTAGTGAACAACTGGGCTACCCTGTCACTACGTACGTCTCTTCAGTATGCCTAACTTGGAGTACTCTACACTACTGTATTCTATACTCTATTCACTATTAACAGACGTTCCGTTAATAAAATAATATTAATTTCTAAAACATATTTTGAGTCCATATTATTAAGGGAAAACCCAGAATATTAGAACTGACTGTTGACCCTCCGAGGGGTCAGTGCCAGAGTCACAGTACCAACCTCGCATCCAGTCCCATGGCCGGTGTAGGCTAGCGAGCACTCTGATCCTATTAGGTTTTCCTTTTCCCTAAAAGTGCCTTAAATCCTTAAATATTCTATCTTATTTAAGCCCTTTCGAGCTACCAGGCCCCGAGGACTCACCTCGAAGGTCCATTGTAGTGCCTGTGCACTACAGACACAGTCAAGAGCCTGACCTATAACTGCTGGCCACCACAATGTCATATTCACAGATATAATACTTCTATATAGTAATCATTCTATTTCTTTTCCATCTAGATCTCTAAAGGGCCTACCTGGCACCCAAGTAGTGAGTAGGCATTTCGCTACACTGCCGATATGGGTGACTGGTGGGGTAATCCTACTAACCTGTGACTCTTTCTACGGCACTCGATTCTTGGAACATTTAGCAGTATTAGTTCTCTTTCTTACTTTCTAGTGCCCTAATCCTAATACTCATTCTCTTTATAGTCAATAAGCTACTAGAGTTCACACCAGAGCTACCGTGTAGTGCCTGTACATGCGCGCTGAGTGCCGCACAACGCGAGTGTTAGAAATTATTGCCGTCCCCCGTTATCGTTAGTCAAAAGATTCCCGTAATCTACAAAATAATGGTTTAGGCAATTTTCCCTTTCAAGGGAAGTAGTCTGAACTTGCTCTAAAACAGATCCAGTCGTGGCGGTCCTTCAGAAGCCCTGCAGTTCCTCGGGGGGCGACCATCATTGCAGGGTCTCTGAAATACGTTTGGAGTCCAGCATATGTGATATTTATTCTAAGCGACTGGATACCATTACATTGAATGCGAGCATTTTACAATTCTCCAAGCACAGCAGAAGCACCAGATATCTGCGGTACCATGACTCGCAGCGGCCGCAGGGATTTCGCCAAAATGCAATGCAGCGTCCCCGTCTCACTCGTGCAGGCGGTTAAACTTGTATTTCTTGTTCCATTGGAATTTTTGGCTGTGTTGACAGCAGCTTCATATGAAAATCCATCAAGCTGGGCAGACACTGCCGTTGAATTAGATGAAGCAGGAGACTCGCCGCAGCAATTAGAGGGACCGGAGGCATATGATGAGGAAGCTCCCCGTCCCGTTATTCACAGGAATCACATGATGATTTTAGCACTCTCAGTAATACTACTTGCAGTCCTGCGCATTATGGTTGCATCCAAAAAGGCTGCCGTTGTGAAAGTAAGACTGTCTGCGCCGCCGATTCCGTAGTTTCACTCTTCCGTGACGATTACTCGTCGCACAAGGCAGCTCCACTTTATTTAACCTAGTGCATGCAGGGATCAGCATGAATTTCTATAATCAATAAGGTTGCTGCAGACTCCTGCAGGGGGAGGGGAGAAGCTCACATTAAGTTGCACAAGTGCCTTCTAACGCCGTGCATGAACGAGTATTACTCTCCATCTACAAAGGATGGAAC